ACAAATACAGAAGACCCAAAGGAATTTCAAAAGTAAATTTTACTGCAAAGAGAATAAATGTAAACTTCAGATTTAATGACTTCCAAAGAAAGCAACACAAAATCATAGACAACTAAATAACATATTCAAACAAAAATTCTAAGTCAACTAACTGAAAACAAAAAATAGATCAAAATAATATATTATTTTTTAAAAAATATATAAAAGTCAATTCAAAAAAGGGGAAAAAAGGGGGAAAATATATATAAAGAACAAATTGGAAGGCACATAAAAGTCAATTCAAAAAAGAAGGAGAAAAAAAGGAAACTATCTTACCTGTTGTGATTGGGAAAAAAGGAAAACATATAAATAATAATAAAAGAACTACAAAAGGGGAAAAAAGGAAATTAACTTACCTTTTTGGAAAAATCAATCGAAAACATTGAAATCTAAGATTAGATATCAAGGAAAAATCTGAAAAATAAATATTAAACAAATTAATTTATACACAAAATAAAATAGAAACAGAAATAAGAATTATGCAGTAAACTTTAAGAATTTCCAGAGTATTTCCTGATGATCTACCTCGAGTACCAATCGTGTTTGTGATTGATTTAATTCTAGGAATGCCTCCAATTTCCAAAGCTCTATATAGAATGGCCCCAACTAAATTGAAAGAGTTAAAGTTACAATTACAGTAATTGTTGGATAAAAGTTGTATTAAACCTAGATTTTCACCATGGGGTGCACCAGTATTATTTGTTCTGAAGAAGGATGGTACAATGAGATTGTGTATAGATAATTGAGAATTGAATAAGGTAACAATTAAATATAAAAATATCAAGGATTGATGACTTGTTCGATCAACTTCAAGGTTCAACTATATTCTCGAAGATTGATTCAAGATCTGGATACCATCAACTAAAGATAAAGAAAGATGACATTCCTAAGATAGCATTTAGTACAAGATATGGTCATTATGAGTTTTTAGTGATGCCTTTTGGGTTGACAAATGCCCCTGCTACCTTCCAATGTCTGATGAATTAGGCGTTTAAAAAGCAGTTGAGAAGATATGTGTTAGTTTTTTTGATGATATACTAATATATAGTGTAGATATGCCCAATCATTGTGAACATCTGGGGATTGTACTACATCTACTCAGGAAACATGAGTTGTATGCAAAGTCAAGTATATGTACTTTTGGGCAAAAGAAGTTAGAATACATAGGCCATGTAATTGATCAGCAAAGGGTATCAACAGATCCTAAGAAAGTAGAGGCAATACAGTCATGGCCTATGCCAACTAATATCAAACAACTAAGGGGATTTCTTGGCTTGACTGGCTACTGTAGAAAATTTGTGAAAGGCAATGGGACAATAGCTAAGACCCTTACTAATTTGTTAAAGAAGGATAATTTTCTATGGTCAGGTACAATAGAGCCAGCCTTTAACAATCTTAAGCTAGTCGTGAGTTTCAATTCAATGCTAACCTTCCCCAACTTTGAGCAACTTTTTATTATGGAAATAGATACTTTTTATGGAGGCATTGGGGTAGTATTAATGTGGGATAGGAAACCTTTGGCTTACATCAGTAAAACCATTGGACTAAGGAGCTTGGGAAGGTCAATATATGAGAGAGAACTTTTGGCCGTAGTTACTGCAGTGGTGAAATGGAGACATTACTTGGAAGGTCACCACTTATCCTTGAAGTTCTTGCTTGAATAGAGGATAACTTCACCATTACAGCAAAAATGGCTAACTAAACTGGTGGGTTTAGATTATGAAATCTAGTACAAAAAATGAGATATAGAATGTGGTAGCGGATGCGCTCCTTAGGAGGGTAGAAAATGATGGGAAGTGTACTACCGTTACACAATTAACACCAGTGTGGATACATGAGGTGATTTCTAGTTACGAGGGAGATGATTTTGCTGAAAAGAAGATCCAAGCCTTGCTTTTGGATCCAGTTGTAGAACTTAAATATTAACATAAAATGGGTTGATTAATTACAAGGATAAGCTATATATTGGTAGTGGGAAAAATATTCGGAAGAAATTGATTCAGGCTATACATGACTCCCAAAAAAGAGGGGGCATTTTGGAATACAGGCTAGCATATTTAGAGCTACACAACACTTTCATTGGGCAGGCATGACACTAGAAATCAAAAGAGAGGTGTTACAATGCATTTGCTAGAAATGTAAGGATGGACACTTACCACATCCAGGCTTACTACAGCCTCTGCCTAAACCTCAACATTCATGGAGTCATATATCCATAGACTTCATTAGGGGTTGCCAAAATCTGAGGGAAAGAACGTCATCTTAGTGGTAGTAGATAGATTTACCAAGTACGGCCACTTTTTCACTCTTTCTCATCCTTTTACATCAAAGAAGGTGGCACAAATATTCCTGGATCATATTTATAAACACCATGGCATGCCTCAGAGTATTTTTACTAGCATCTTTTGGTAGAGCTATTTAAACTCATGGGAACTAATTTGGAGCTCAGTTCAGTGTACCCACAGATAGATGGCCAAACTGAGAGGTTAAATCAGTGTTTGGAGCTGTATCTCAAGTGCATGACACATCACAGATCTAAACCATGGGCTAAATGGATATCTTTAGCCAAGTGGTGGTACAATACCACTTTTCATTTAACCAACAAGAGAACACCTTTTGAGGCTCTATATAGGATTCCACCACCATAGTTAGCTATGGGACCTTATCAGCAAGCATGTGTTGCTATGGTGGAAGATGTTTTACAAGAGAGGTATAAGATGGATCCACAACTAAAGGAGAACTTAGCACAAGCTAAAGCCAAGATGAAGATGTACGCTAATAGAAATAATATTTAGAGAAATTTCCAAGAAGGTGGCTGGATATATTTAAAGTTATGTCCATATTAGTAGCAAACTTTTGCTATGAGGATTAATCAGAAGCTTAGTCCTAAGTACTATGGCCCTTTACCAAATTGAAAAGAAGATTGGAAGTGTAGCATATTGCCTAGCAGTTCTCAACCAAGGAAAAATTCACACAGTGTTTCATGTATCATTACTTAAATGGAAGATAGAAAGCAAAGAAGTGGTTGTAGAACAATTACCAACTGAAGAGAAGGATGTGTGTTACCAGAAGAAGTGCTTCAAATTAGAATTTATATAAAGGAAAATCTTTCCGGAGCTCAATGTCTAATCAAATGGAAGTGGCAGACCACAAAAGAGGCAACTTGGGAAGATTCAAATGACATACAGAAGAAATGCTGTAATTTTAAATCTTGGGGACAATGTTCATTTAAGGAGGGGGGTTGTCATGATGAGACAGTAGCAACACAATGGAAGAATTGGGGGGAAAGAAGGAAAAGAACCAACCGTAACTAGCTTTCAGAAAGTGTCATTTTGCTTATTGTGTTTTTGTAAAGGGAATACGATTTCCACTCATATTGTAATAAATATATATACAAAACAGGGGAGAAATGGGTCTGTGTGGATGTAGAATCAGTTCTATCAATCAATAATCTTTCTTATATCTTATACTTCTCATATCTTCTTCTTCTTCTTCTTCCTCTAACTCTATCATCACCCCGGCAATTGGGTTGAGATCTTAACTCCTTGAGCTGTGATTATTAAATTGATACTGATTTTGAGTGAATTCATTTCCAGGTTGAACTTCACTCATTACACCTTCGTATTTGTCCTCAGCATGGACCTTTATTTGAGTTTTTATGTTGGTACCATTGTTAGGGACAACAATTAGTGATGGGTGATTTGATGTGATTATTTTTTTTCTCTCCCAATTTTTGTTTCCCGACCTAATTTTGATTGGAGATTGAGATAATCGACTTCTATCTTGGCATGGCAACCCGAATGAAATGAGATTATGGTTTATTTCCTGAAATCGGAGATTCGTAGACATGTCACCATTGAAATTGGTTGGGCGATCCATTAGTGGTGACGATGATGCTGGTGATGGTGATACAGTGGTGGTGGGGGCAGCTTCGAGATTGGTGGGTTTGAAGGGAAAATATGAATTGGTTAGGGACATTTTGTTTTTTTTATTTTTTTATTTTTGGGGTCCTTTGAATTCTACTTTTTGTTGAGTGTTCTGTATGGTATTGCTAATTCTCCCTTTTTTTTTCTTTCGATTTCTGTACCGTTACACAGTGTTGGTTGTTAAATTAAAGGGCTTAAATCTGCTGCACATGTTTATATCCAGAAATTAATTATTTCATTCTTTGCATAAAAAATTCATAGCTGCTCCAAATTTGTTCAACAAGTGCTTAAAAAGCTGAAAATTGGAGTACAATGCCTGCATTACAGGGACTTGATTGCGTTGTTATTTTAAAAGCGATTTTTTTCATTTTAGCGGTTCCAAAAAATGGTTTCATTTTCACTTTTTTGTATTTATTTTTTTTAAAGTAGAGAGCAAAGTTGTCATTTTGCACAATCTTGACGGTCAAATTGAATAGAAACCGAGTAGGAGGAACGATGCCAATAAACCGAAAGGTAGAGGATCAATGCCTCCAACAAAAAAAGTGGGAGCATATCTCAATCATTCTTAAAGGTTGAGGACCAAATGTGTAATTTTCCAATAAGTTAAGCTTGGGTGCTTAATTTATCAAGCAAAAAATTTAACTTTACGTGCAAAATATTTCATTACGTGAATATATAATTAAAAATAAATATATAAAAATAATAATTTTTAAATAATAGTTATCAAACAGAGCCGATTTCCCTTCTACAAACGACCATAATTTTTATTTATTAAACCACGTTTTAATTGCATTGAAAATCTCTAATCCTTTAGCACTTGGCACTGTTGTCTCCAATTTTTTTTTTTTTTCCATCTCATAACTATCCTTAACAATTAATTAATACATTTTGAACCTAACACTTTGGTCCAAAAAAATCCGTTCCCTTAAATATTCAAGTAAAGAAAAAACAATACATAAATATTTGCTCCCCAACTCAAAGCACCAAGAAGATGAAAAGTATATGATGAAATAAAGTTGGAGACAAAAATATCAGTGCAATTAAAATGTTATGTGAACATAACTATCCTTACAATATAGTGCTCTTATCTTGGCTATAAACCAAGAAACAGAACTATTAAAATAGTCATCTATCATCCACCATTATAGTTTACTATTTCAAATCATTTCCTCCAACTAGTTTAAGCATCCAGACAGCAAAAATTTTGACAAGCACTTACAAACTCTTTGTTGATACGAAAAACAAATACAGAGAGAATGTTCGAAACCAACTTAGATTACAATCTTTATGCCACCACCTCCAATTGGATCCCCATTTTTTTTAGTCTGGTTGGGAGTGAATTGCTGGCAAAAAGGAACAATATCCCGCTCAGCCATAACATAACGACATAAAAAACAGAACAAGTAAACCATTGAGTATAAAGAGTAAGATTTAAAACATATAGCGAACCTACATCAGGTAAAAACATTACTGGGATAAAAAACTGATACTAGCTGGTAGCTGTATCAGGGATCAGTTTTGTTGTGTCATAATTTGTAAAAATGGCCTCGATTCTGTCCAGTGATGCCTGTAAACGTCCAGAATTCATGTTGAACAATGGTGCATCAGTGCCCAGTGCCCTGTGGATGTCAAATTTTCAGCCTTGAAAACCAGATAATACCAGCTTGAACAAACGCTGATTTCCATTCAGATTTTAGTAAAAGCAAAATAGAACAAGATAGCTCACTCACCCAGTAACTTCTGGAAGAACATAATCCGCTCTCCAACCAAACCGGAAATCCACTCCTGGAGACAAGCCAAGGGACGTTTTATTCCGAATCCTGGATACACCATCTCCACCCAAACATGTCGTCAGCTTCCATTTCCAACCAGTAGCATGCAACTGAAAGTTATGACCTACTCCTACCTGGATTAGTTCAAAATGAGATTCTTACATCATATGCTAAAGAAAGAAAACGGCTGAGGGAAAGAAGCAAGGTCAAGACAATCAAACCTGAAGATTCAGAAATTTTGTTATGGGGATCTTCTTTGAAACAAGCTGCACATCCTGATGCAAAGGCTCATAAATAAACTTCCACCGGCGTTCATAGGCTAAAGGTTTCAATACTAGTTTTGCATGGTAGTCATTCATGGTAGCATTATACAACTACATTGGAGCAGTGTTAGTAATGTGTCAGGTAAAGTCGCAGAAGAAAATAGAAATTACAATACGATGTACACTTCACTAGATAATATCACTTCAACTTTATCTCAAATATGTCCAATTCAGACTTATGAAGTCCACGTTTTAAAGTGCCAGAAGAATGCATACAGTGTTTGTAGCCCAGATTACATTTGTTTACACCAACAAATAGAGAAGCGAATCAAAGTAACATATTGCTTCCCATTTGAACTTGGTGATCTTGCTTATATGAACAAACTACACCACAGAAATATATTGGCAAAAGAATAAAGTCATTTTGTTCTCCAATACTTGTGAGCTCAAGTTTCATGAATACAAAGAGACGCATGTCTCAATCTAAAACCCATCCTAAATATTATCAAAACTATCCATAGTGCACGTCCAAGTATTCTAAAATATTCTCATCATTCCTTCATTCGTTTAGGGCACATTCGGTACACCATATAGAATTAGGTGGGATAGAATTAGGAAGAATAGGATTAAGGGGATTATGGTGGATTGCTGTAATGAGGCGTTTGGTGCTATACAGTATCAGAACAACATATAAGTTCATATTTATCCATAGTTTTTCTTACTTGTACATAAATTTTCTCATAAGTGAATTTTATTTACTTATAAGTAAATTTTTAATTCATAAGGAAATGTTTGAGTTATGTAAGTTTTTTTTTTTTTTTTAATTATTATTTTTTTATATATATATACAAATGATGATTTACTTATACGTGATTTTTTTACCTAAAAAGTAAGATTTTTAACTTAAATTAAATTTTTGACTTCTAAGTTATTTTTTTACTCAGAGATTAATTTTTTTAATTATAAGTTGATGTTTACTTATATTTGATTTTTACCTAAGATGCAAATTCTTTTTTTACCGTTAAGTATTATTTTTCAAAAACTTGAAATTTTAACTAATAAGTCATTTTTACTTTTGAATTTTTTTTATTTTTTTTCCGAATACAAATTTATTACTTAATAAGTAATATTTTTACATATATGTGATTTTTTTTTTTAATTTAAAAAGTGACTTTTTAAATTATGAGTATACTTTTTTTTACTTATTATTAAATTTTAATTAATAAGATGAAAAAATTATATATTTGTCAGTGTAATATGGCACACCAAACACACCTTAATGCTTGTTAAATAATAACAGAGAGGAAAGGGACTAATTCAGTCTGCTAAAGTATAAACCCACCTAACCACATGGGATCAGTTGGTGGTGCTTAAGAGATCATGATGGTAAGCTAATCTTTGTCTTTTATGAACCATATGGTCATTGCACAAACCTAGAGGCCAAGATTATAGTTATATTAACGGTAAAACAATTACGACACCAATCACTGTTGAGGAGAATTTCGATAGAAATGAACTCCACATTAGCAATGGAATTTGCATTGATTGCTGCTTACAGGCATCAGACAATACAATACACAGTACATGCAGTTTAACGCTTTTTAAATGTTTCAGTGTCGTGTCTAACACATACTAGGTAAGGGAATAAGTGGTAGATTCTATGGCTAAACAATGACAATGGACAATAACCTCCTCATTGTATACATGGGAGATATAAACAGACAAGTTCAAGGCTTTCTAAAGCTCCATAGGTGCCAACTTCCCTGCTTTTACACTAAGAACGTTAATCTGATTATTTCGTATCACGCTCCATCTCCTGCAATGGAGGAAGTACTTCCAAGTTTTAACTATTATGGAGTGTTTGATTGCCATTTTTTTCCTTGGAAAATATTTTTCAGCCTTTGAAAATATGCCTAGTTTTCCTTAGGTTTTCATTTTCCTCGAAACAAGGAAAGCATTAACTTTTCTATGATATTTTCCGCAAACACACCCTTAGCAAACTTTCTTTTCACCTCTTGATATGACTCTTGAGGCAAGTTATCGCTCCACTCAAGCAACAGGAAAATGATAATGCCAAATCCGTCACAGTTCAGAAGAAGCCTAAAAACTTCGACCTGAACCTCAATGCTATTAAAAATAAAAAAATAAAAAAATAAAAAAATTATATTATACAAGAAAACCAAAATGTTCTGAAAGCAATTATTCCTGCGATTAACCCTTAAATTGCCTAGAAAAAGCAAAATTACATCATATTTGCACAATATATTAACAATAAATGAAAAAAAAAATGTTAATCGACCAACACCTCAAATGCATAAACAAGTAATCGAATTCAAAACCCCGCAATAATGATTAAAACTCGCATAAAAATACCTCCAAATTAACACCAACACGATACCCCTGAATTTCTTTCCTGAACTTCAAGAAAACCTCCGTAGGAATCAAATTGATATTGTAAAGCTCCTCCCAAGAAGTGGGTACTTCTTCATTCGAACCCGCGTTACCCGCCTCCATTTTCAACCCGGATATAAATAAAAAAAACTGCAAATTATTCAACACAAGCGCATCATAGAGTGGTTATGGAACAGTAGAATTCAATCTTAAATTTAAAGCTAGTACCTGTTTTGGATCTTTATCTATATATGTAAAATTTTGGTGTGGTTTGGGTTTATGGAATAGGAAAAATGAAAAGAGAGGAACATTGTTGTGATGTTATCGCTAGCCAAGACTTTTTACATTTTTCTTTTTGAGAAAGTTCTAGCGGAGATCCTCAAATTAAAATTTCTACGAATAAATCCTCAGCTTATTTATTTAGACTCCATTTATTTTCCATTTTCGTAAGAATGATAATAAAAAATATAGATATTATGGATCTCGTACAAAAAATAAAAATTCAAATTTGATGGCTTCATGTGATGAATAATGGTCATATTTTTTCATTTTAATGAACAAAGAATGAGAAACAAACATAGACTTATTACTTTATCAAGGTTTGTAAGACCCTGTTTGTTTTCCATTAATGTAAAAATGAGAATGAAAAATATAGTTATTATGGGCTCCACACAAGAGATAGAAATTCAAATATGATGACTTGATATGATGGATAACGGTCATATTTTTCATTTTAATAGCCAAATAATGGAAAACAAACAGGGGCTAAATTTGACAGTAATTATATTCTTAGTATGCAAGTTTTGTTCATTCTATACTAACACTATGATATGTTCAGTGGTGATTATGATAAATGATTTTTTGACCATTAGATAAAAGTAGGTCCCACTTATGAGTGAATAAATAAAAAATGATGGTTAAAATAGTAAAATAACAGTCAAAAAATTAATTTTTTTGGGATGAAAAATTGTTATCAAATGAGGGCTGAGTTTGAACAATCTTATTAGAACAATTTTGAATTCTTTCTTACTCAACAAACTTGCTAAGTTTACATTTTGTCTACCAATGTATTTTGATGACTTGATCTGATTTTATTTTTAGATAAAAAAAATATTTTTAACGTTGAAATAAAGAACTTATTTATTGTTACTTAGTTCTACAAAAGTTAACAAAGTTTCTGATTTTATAGAAGTAAGCTTGAAAAACGTAAATTATTCCATGTTTGAATAATTACTTTGAAGAATAAAAATTTAATTTTTTTTTTTTTTTTAAAAGAACTTCTTACCTCTCGTTCTTAACTTTGATTATTAGAAAAAAGTATTTACTTCAAAAGACTTTTTTATTTATAATTAAATTTATGTGCTATTGATTTTGTTTTTGAATTTCTATTTGTGTTTTTTCGCTTGCATTTTTCTTTCACAACTAATACAGAAGTAGACTAGAAGTGAATATTGATGAACGTAAATGGTGTTATTTGATTTTAATCTTTTGTGAATTAGGGATTATAACGCCATCCACGTTTTTTGTTTCATATATTCCAAATTAGCTATAAATGTTACAAATTCATAAACTTATGTATAGAATCCCCTATTCCAATTAAAAATCCATTTAACTAAAATGATCAAAGCAAACAGGTCTCCATTCCCTCTCCTCCGAGTTGTACAATCTTAAGAGTTATGGTGGTGATAGTGGTAGTAGGAGAATGCGATGGCGTATGGTAGTCTGAACGGAAGTTGTTGGTATATGCTAGGAGGAATAGTTTTTTCGCCATTTTGGGAAGGATACAGAAGTTGCATATGCTACAATCGACATTAACGATGACAGGCAATTTACAATGGAGCAATAAAGAGGAGATTGGTTGGCAGCTAGTGGTTGTGGATTAGGTTGATTGTTGATATGGTAGTAGGTTTGAATAGAAATAGGCGATAGATGGTGATGGTGAATGGTTTCGATAGCAGCAAATGATGTTTTTGTTATAATGCCTTACGAGGGCGCCCTAGCCAAATTCAATCCTAAGCCCAAGAGTTAATCGGAGAATCAGATGAAACAAGAAATTAAACGCATTGGCATCCAAAGAGTACAGTTTCCTTAAAACATATTCGTCCCTTTGCCATTTGTGCTTAAAGTTTAGGGCGCCCTAGCCGGATTCAATCCTAAGCCCAAGAGTCAATCGGAGAATCAGATGAAACAAGAAATTAAACGCATTGGCATCCAAAGAGTATAGTTTCCTTAAAACATATTCGTCCCTTTTTCAAGATATATTAAACCAATGTTTAACACGACCCGATCCTATTCATAGCCTGAATTCATATGAAAAGCGTGAATTGATTTACTGGATTTATCACACATTATTTCACATGCCATAGATATTATTCCTAATACCTATTATCCATGTGTTAATTTTATTGCGTTTTAGATTTATTGTGAGTATTCATACACTACAACAAGCAACTTACCATGTAATTGATGATCAAGCAATTAAATAGTTCAATAAGAATGCAAAACCAATCAAGAAAAAAATCATGAAATACTAAATTAATTGTCTTGAACTAAAATAAACAAATAATATGTTTTATCATTCATCAAATACAATGAAAAACTAGCATAACATATTAAAATATAAATTACAAGAAGAATAATAGAAAAATATCACCCGGATCATAAAAGAATACAAAAGATGTTGATCTTCAAGTCCAAAGTTGAATTCTTCAAAATCTTGATGTAATTGAACTTCAATAAAGAAAGTTACCTTCATGTGCGTATGATTTTGTCTCTGCACAGCCTTCAATATTTTGATCATAACTTTTTCTTACAGTATCCGATTCAGGTGATTCAAAGTATATTAAAAATATAGTTCAAAGAGTTTCAATTCTTCAAGAGATACAATTTTTCCAATTCGAAAGTTTTCTATCAAAAAAAGGGGTTTCAAATTGACCAAAAATTTGGAAGATATCTTATGTGATTGAAAATCAATTTCTGGTAATATTCTGATCATAGTCCTTTCCTTTTTTACTCTAATTTGCATTAAATTGACTTCTATCAATCTTTAAAGTATCTTTTGTAGTCCAAATCAAACGTTGGATATTTATACTTTGGTTTCCATACTTTGGATTTGCATCATTTTACCCATTTTCCGTTCTTTCTTCCAATTTTTCTTAGAAACATAAACTTTTCCTAATAAAAGCAATAAATAGTAAATTAGGTACTATCCGTTCAAAGAATAACAAAATAACATCATTTAGGATCCCAAATTAATTTTGTTTTCCGTTCTTTCTTCCAATTCTTCTTTGAAACATAAACTTTTCATAATAAAAGCAATAAATAGCAAATTAGGTACTATCCGTTCAAAGAATAATAAAATAATATCATTTAGAATCCCAAATAAGTGTAATATCTGCCTGAAGTTATGGAATGTGATGACCTTTGTTCGTCAATGTCAGTAATATTAGCATTCTCTGTACCATGTAACGAGCTATCTAAGTTTTCATTTAATGCTTCAGCCTCGATATCAACAATTAGAGGTTCGGGTACATTATTCTTCAACATAATGTGCTGATGACTGAGCTCATCATGTTGTACGTTTTGGGCACATCCGCATCAGCGAACAAACTCCCTGCACAGTTTGCATCCCTTCCCATGTCAACACTCGAGAGCTCAATTTTCAAAATAGTAACATAGAGTGCAGTTTTCTTATGAACAGATATGTGCCAATGTAAGTTTTCATTGTTGCGTATTTTTGCCACAGGTTTATTCAAGTTCGAGCTTTTGAACTTCAATTCAATTTCAACGTGGGACTCAGCAATACCAAGTTTGTCCTTCAATTGTAACACAAGTTCAGCTACAATAATACTTCTCAGTTCCAAAATGGAACTGGTTTTGTCCTATCTACACTTTCATTCATCATCCATGTGAACAAACTTTCCTAATACGACACGATGAATCTTAAATGACGATTCATACCTGAAATGTTGAGACTTCAAAGGTAAGAATTTTGCACGTTCCATATATCGACATTTAATAGGATCAAATTGGAGCATGCGAATATTTAGATCCATGTAGTACCAAAAAGAGAAAGAATATCAACAGCTTTCAAGTGTCGAAGTCGATTGTTAAAATGTCTATCCCGACAGTTTGTAAATGTCGAGTTCGATAGTTCAAATGTCTAACTCGATGGTTTCGAAGATACTACTCAACAGTTGAACTGTCGTAATTTTTGAGGAAACTTAAAAAACATGTATTTGATTCTTTGAAAGAAATTATTGAAAACATTAATGGTGATAATTAATTCTCAATTACAACATCACAATATTTTCTCAAAAATAAATAAAGAATAACTCAATATTTTATTAAATATGGAATCCTTCACATTTTCTAGAGAATGTTGGTATATTTTGCCTTCAAAAATAAAATAAATCAATGAATAAGAGTTTCAAAAATTTCAAATAAATATGATAATGCTGTATGCAACATTTCAAATAGTAAACTATAAGATGAAAATATAAACAATTTCTAATAGCTAACCTTTGAAAATGGATGATCAATCCAATAGCTTTCACTTGTTGATGATAGAATGAAGAGCATGAATTAAAAAGGTAGGGTTTGTGAATAGTGAGAATTTATGTATTTTTTTTCACTTTTCGATTTCTTTTTTCTTTTTTTACCAAAATGAATATTACCCATATATTAATCACATCTCAAATATTTATAATATACAAATAAATTGTCACATCACAATATTAATGGCATTCAAATCAACCATTAAATGCTCCTAAAAGGTCATAAAGGGTAATATGGACATTTTGTAGCAAAAAAGTGACATTTTTGGAAGATTTTGCTGTAAATTAATTTTTTTGTGTGTATTTTCAAATTTAGTGACATTTATGAAAATTCCCCATTCTGAATTTTGGGATAAACACCGAAAGCAAAGACAGAGAACAAAAACGGATAAGAAGAAATAAGGGGGAAAAAGGAAAAAGGAAAAAAAAAGAAAAAGAAGAGAAAAGGAAAAAGAAGGAAGATTTATGTGCCAATTGTTCAAGTTTAGGTTCTCAATTTCTTAAATTTCTCATCTTCAAGAGGTAAGTGAAAAATGAATTAATTAAATTTCGAGGAGGGTTTATGAATAGTTTGCCTATAATCGAAGTGGATTAATGATTATTGACATATATTGAAGATATCAAACAATCAAATACTCCATCATGAATAATAATATAGAAAAGTAAAAGGAGGGAAATCAATACATCAAACATAAAAAAATAGAACTGTAAAATTACATAGCTAATTGAAGAATATAGAATCGGGATTGGATATTGGACAGGAATGGTTTATTTGGATTGAAGAATAGAAATTGAATATTAGATTGAAGGAGA